ACTAGGACCCAAGAAGCAGTGTTACTGTTAGTGGGCCTCAAGATCACGGCCAGTCAAGGCATCCGGGTGAGGCCTTACGGAACTCCACCGCTGGACCTCCCAAGCTCCGCTTCTGCTGAGGGATGTACCGCCGTGCTCCACCTGTCCTGGTTCAGCGGGCACAAGCTCCAATCCTCGGGAAGAGAGGGCAGATGTAAAGAAGAGACAGCTCTTTGGCCTGGAGCCCTGGATCCAAGTTCTCCCCAGGATCTACTCCCAATCCCCTAATAGCTCAAGAAGCTAAAGGATTGATTACAAGGTCATTTGGCTGCATTAGCTACACGCTGATTTAATCACAAGGTGTTTGAGCTGGAAGGGACTGCAAACACTCCTCCCATTTGATGGAGGACAGCAGAGTGGCCAAGGTCATTGTACAGGTGAAGGTGGAGGCAGACCCTGTCTATCCACATGAAAGCAAAGGGTGACCTTCCCTGTCCACAGTCAGGGCCAGATTTCAGCAGGTGTTTGTTGAGTGAGGAAATGGACAATCTAGGTGTCTGACCTAGCTCTCACTTCCCGGCCATCACCCTCTGTCTCTTCCTAAGGTAGAGGATGTAAACTGCACATTCCTGGGGCCACCTTTGGAGACTTGGAATCAGGAGGTTAGAGAGGAGCCTAGGAATTTGAATTTTAGACAATTCCTCCCTTCTTCCCAGCCCAAGTGGGCTTCTGGATAGAAGCACAGGTGATGCCCACGCAGGTGTTTTGACCTGTGATTTTCCTCTGGACCCCCTATCCCTTCCCCCCTGGCTGCAGAGCACCTCCTGGCGGAGTCTTGGGATTGCTCAGAAATATGCGGGCTTGGCCCCTCCTTTGGGACCATTTACCCAGCTAGGGGGTTGGGTAGATGGGCTGGCCTGGCCCCCCTTAGCCTCCCACGCCCAGACCCACCAGGCTTAGTCTGGGAGAGCTGATGAATGTCCATTACCACAGCAGGCCCCATAAAAAGGATTATGGGGTGTTGCTGAGTTTACAAGCCTGTTCTTGTAAAGCTGCCAGACTGGGGGTGGCCATCGCCCCTATGGAAGAAGGACGAAAAGGAATTTTCCCTCCACCCGTTGCCACACACCCAGTCACTTTCATGGGAACTGTGGTGGCCTGACTGCAAGAAGGGCAGACCGTGAATCAGAAGACCCTGACCAAGTGGAGGGACTGCAGCTCACCGCTGACCCCCTGGACCTTTCTGGGCCTCAAACTTCCCATCTATGAAGAGGGCCTTTCTCTCACCTCCCAAAGGTGGCTGCAGAGCGACTCAGCTAAGCCTTTGGTGTTAACAGAACTATTAGAGGAGCCACATCAGAGGATCTGAGTGGGAGAGGGTCTCTCCTGGGCCGCACTGGGGACGAGAGCTGTGCTGCTGCCCTCTGTTCCCATCACTGCTCTGGCCCCTGGGGGTGAAGAGTATGGCCTCAGAGGCGGGGGCCAGGGTGGGTGCTGTAGAGGAGAGAGGGCCAGGGATCGCCCCAGAGACGGCCAGCCTCTTTGGCACCTGGCAGGCTGGCTTCCTGGCTGCCCGCACCCGTTCCCAGGCCTGGTTTGTGTCTGGCGGGAAGCGCCAGGCTGGTGTGGGCTGCTGGCCCTGCTCCGAGGCCCGGGCTGGGGTCCCAGGGGCCCCCGCCCATGCTTGATCTTCAGCATGCTCTCCGCCGTCGGCCTCCAAACCTGGATTGTCTGTGTCAAGGCCTTTCAACATGATCAAACACAGAGTCCCGAGCCTGGGACAGCTTGGCAAGTGCGAGGTGCAACTGGTGTTTCACATGAGCACTTAGGCCGTCAATAACACAGCGGCCTCAGAGTTGGAGGTGGGGTGAGCTGCCGGTCCCCGAGAGCTCCATTCACATTTCTGACCCATGCGTGCAGACGGGGTTTGAATCTTGTTGGCAAAGGACCAGAGAAACAGGCTGCCAGTCGTGCCAGCGAAGGGGCAGCGACAGGGGCCAGAGCCTCAGAGAGGGTGTGGTGGGGCCACAGTGACTGCAGCCTAGGCCACCTGGGCCCTCAGTGATAACCACAGCGAGCCAACACGGTGCTGAGCGAGCCCTCTGCAATGTCACAACGCCCCTACAACAGACCACAGTTGTGCGGCCCCTTCCACAGATGAAGGAGCAGAGGAGCTCCTGTTAACCGACCCGCCCAAGGCTACAGAGCTGGCACCAGGGCTCAAACCTGGCACTGAGGTCTTTTAGGAACATGCCTCCACTTCCCCAATGGGGGCACATAGCCCGAATGACGGGCAGACCGAAGGACAAAGACCAGAATGCCTTCCTTGTGCTATTGCTCACATGGCAATTTCTGTTCCTGGCATGTGAGGGCCACTCTGCCCATCCCAGAAGCTTCTCCCCATCCCTCCACCTCCACCCAGGACTCCCATGGGCACACCTGGGCAAGACAGGTTGTATACAAACTTAAACACACACACACACACACACATATCAAAATTGTTTTTAGTAAATATCAACTAAAATAATTGTTTTCAATAACAGGCTTTGGTTCGCAACATATGCTTTGCATGCCCATGGGCAAATGTCTTCACCACTCTGAGTGACTTAGGCAGTCCCTATGCAAAATGGGTTAACAGTGGCTCCTACCACATGGGATCACATTGTGGCAGCCCTGAGCCTGGCACTTCAGCAACAGTAAACAAATGTGTGGGCTCTCACTGTCATCCTAGGCAGGTAAAGTGCAGCATGGGTGGACTGGGGTACCAGAAGCATCCTGGAGAACAGCAATGATAAAGCCACAGGGTTCCCCAATGATAAAGCCACAGAACCTTGCCTCGGAGAGGACCACCCATAGCTCGATGGTCAGGATAATGGGGGGATCTGGTCAAATACCCTGCTTGGGGAGCAGAGGCTTGCAAAAGGAGGCTGGGGTAAGGCAGCACCCCACCTTAGAAGGAGCCTGAGTGAGGAGCAGGGGGCCTAGACAGAGGTATCAAGGACTAGAGCCCAAGTATGGAAACTCTGGCATCTCCTCCCCTTCCTCACCTCAGGAGGTGTCCAGGCCCCAATCAGGGGCAGCCTCACTCATCTCCAGTCCCCACTAGCTGATGGGCAGAAGTCCCTAGAAACCCTCATGCTGCTCAGGGCCGTCCAGAGGCTGGAGAGGGGGTGGTGATGGGCCTGGCCCAGGTCCCCTGTGCTCGGTGCTGTGCTGGACCCACGCCAACTCACACAAACTTGTTCCAACTTGTGAACCTCACCGATGTGTTTTCAGAAATTTCAGGGGCGCCTGGGTGGCTTAGTTGGTAAAGCGTCCGACTTTCGCTTAGGTCATGATCTCATGGTTCGTGGGTTCGAGCCCCATGCCGGGCTCTGTGCTGACTGCCAGCTCAGAGCCTGGAGCCTGTTTCCAATTCTGTGTCTCCCTCTCTCTCTGACCCTCCCCTGCTCACGGTCTCTCTCTCTCTCTCCTAGAAATAAAAATAAAACTTTAAAAATTAAAAAAAAGAAAGAAATTTCACCCTTACAAATTCAATGATAGGAACATACAGTTAAATACATTATATTAAAACAAAGGTAACAGATAACCAAACTCATCATTTTCTGGAGATACGGTTGAGGTTCCAGCTTCTGCGCAGGTCATGATCTCATGGTTTGAGGGTTGGAGCCTGGCACTGGGCCGCTTGCTGACAGCGCAGAGCCTGCTCCAGGTTCTCTGTCTCCCTCTCTCTCTGCCCCTCCCCTGCTGGCGCTATCTGGCACATACATTTACTATCACGGGTGCCCATGAGATCACTTATATCTGTGACATGAGCATGAAGGGCCCCACAGTGGTGCATAGGTGCAGACCTCTTCCCAGCTCCTCCTTCTGGGATACTGCTGTGGTAGCCTGAAATCGGCCTTGGGGAGTCTTCCAATTCGGCCATCAACAAACCCTCCAAATCAGGGCTGACCCCTTCTAGGACAAGTTGTTAAACATTTAGGAGCACACTCACGCCCGCGGGACGCTGGGTACCCAGCGGGGTACCCTGGGCTCCACACCACCACCTCCCCACGCACTCCCTTCCAGCCCCCCGCCCCGCCAACGGAGGGGTGCCAAGCTGTTCATCCCTACTGGGATTTACTTCCACCCCCAGACCTCCAGGATTTATTTTAGTACAAGTGAGGAAGCTCCGGAATTGATTGGACCCATTGTTCCCCATCCCGCCGGTGGACTCCGCCCCCCATTGTCCGCGGCCCCTCCCAGCGGCTCAGAGGCTCCACCATGACCGGAGCTGGGAGGGGCCTCGCGGTCAGAGCCCTGGACCGCAGCCCCACGCCTATTGTGAGCTCCGATCTGAGCATCTCGGGGTTTCCTCGTCCCTGGGCCTCAGAAGCCACTGGGGAGGGGCCTGTTTATGGTAAATGATGCCTGTTTGCTTTGATTTCTAGTTCAGACCCCGGGGCCACTACTGTGTCCCCATAAATTAAAGGCTGCTTATATTTGAGGGAATTAAGCAAGACTGTGAAGCCCTGGGAACGTCGGGACCTTCAGAGGGGGCGGACATGGCGTGTATCGTGTCCGCACCAAGGCCGGGCCCTTTGGCTGGTGTCTCTGGACTTGGGGACCAGGATGACACCACGTCTGCTCTAGACCCACATAATGGGGAGGAAGAAAAACAACAAAGCTCCATGACAGCTTGTTTTTCCCTTCCCTTCTCCAGTCTTTGCTCAAACTGTTCTTCCTGTCCAGGATCTGTCCCCTCCATTGCACACCCTAGACTGAGGGAGGGTCTCGGTCTTTCTTTCAGGGTCCAGCCCACGATAAGCATGATAATATCCAGGATGCACCTAGTCTCAGAGTTTACAAAGCACTCTTGCATGCTTAATTCTTTTTAATATTTATTTTTGAGAGACAGAGCATGAGCAGAGGAGAGGCAGAGACAGAGGACCCGAAGAGAGCTGTATGCAGACAGGCTGACAGCAGCGAGCTCCATGCCGGGCTTGAACTCACAAGCGCATGAGATCATGACCTGCACCGAGGCTGACATTCAACTGACTGAGCCACCCAGGTGCCTCGGTATTTTTTTTCTATTCATTGTGTTAAGTGCATGTAACAAAATTTACCACCTAACCATTTATTACATTTACAATGCCTGTGGCTATCCCCACCACCCATCCCTCTAACTCGTTACAAATTATCAATCCGAAACTCTATCTATTTACCAATAACTCCCAGTTCTCCCTTCTTCCCAGCACCTGACGACCATCATTCCACTTTCCGGCTTTTTGATTTTGACTACTCTAAGCACCTCATGTAAGTGGACTAAGTATTTTGGAGACTGGTTTATTTCACTTAACGTAGTGTCCTCCATATCATCCACGCTTTAGCACATTGCAGAATTCCCTTCCTTTTCAAGGCTGAGTAACATTCCATTGTATGTGTGCACCACATTTTCGTAATCCATTCATTAGTCGGTAGACGCTTGGGTTGCCTCCACGTTTTAGCTATTGTGAATAATGCTGCTGTGAACACGGGTGTACAAATACTTCTCTGAGTCTCTTCTTTCAGTTCCTTGGGGCATATACTCAAAACTAGAATTGCTGGTTCATGTGGTAATTCTATTTTTAATTTTTTGAGGAACCTGCAGACTGTTTTCCATGGCAGCCATACCATTTAACATTCCCACCAAAAATGCACAAGGGTTCCAATTTCTCCACATCTTCACCAGGCACTTGTGTTTTATTTTGTTTTGTTTTGTTTTGTTTTGTTTTGAAAGTAGCCATTGTAATGGGTGTGAGGTGGTCTCTCACTGGGGTTTTGATTTGCATATCCCTGATGATGAGTGACACTGAGCTTCTTTTCATATGCTTATTGGCCATTGGTATATTTTCTTTGGCAAACTGTCTCTTGGAGTCCTTTGCGTGTTTTTGACTTTTTTTCTCTTGTCGTGTTGAGGAGTTTTCTCCATGTTCTGGATATGAATCCCTTAGCTGAGGTATGAATTGCAAATGTTTTCTACCATTCTGTGGGGGCGCCTTATCACTCCGTGGATGGTGTCTTATGAGGCGCAAAACTTCTAGTTTTCACGAAATCCAGTGTGTCTATTTTTGCTTCTATTGCCTGTGCCTTTGGTGTCATATCCAAGACTTCATTGCCAAGTCCAGTGTCGTGAAGCTTTGTCCTATGATTTCTTTCAAGAGAAAGAAGTACACTTGCATACACTCAGTGTGTGCTGGCTGGTACTGGGGGTGGCGTTACCATCCTTAGTCCAATTTCCAGGACCTTCTGCCCGCTCAAGGCCACACACTGGAAGGCGATGCCTAGGGCTGGGTCGCTAAGTCCGTGAGGCACGTAATCCTACGTGGGGGACCTTGAAAGCCTATTGTCAGCACCTTCAGTTCTTATTTTGGTCCTTGAAGGATTTCTGGTCTTTGGCGTGTTCCTTGGGAAGATGGGGAATGGACAAACTGTCCACCCTTGTGAGTGGAGCTTTTTCGTTCATTCCCATTTTTCAGATTAAGAAACTGAGGCCATCTTGGAGTCCATGAAGGTACCAGTTGCTGTGGCTCTTGGAGCCTGGTCTGAAACCAAAGTCCCTGAAGGTAGCAGCTCCTTGACCCTTCCTAGGAGGGCCCTGGGAGTTGTTGCCAGTAGGCCTTTGGTCTCAGTGGGGTCAGAACAGTGACCTACGTGGACAGAGCCCACCCCCTGGGCCCATCCTGAGATCACTGTTCCAGGGAGTGGCGGGAGGCAAGGCCACTCTGCCAGGACCCCCTTGGCTCCACACGGCTTGCCATCTCTGCCACTCCAAAGGGCCTCACCCTCCCTGTTTCCCATCAACGCCACAGCGTGCATGAAATATTAGGAAAATAGGGCTGAGTATTAGGTAATGACTGTCCAATTTATTCTGACAGCAAGAGCCAGAGGGAGGAAATTGACATTGGTGATTTACTTAGGCCCTGACAACCTTAATTAATCTTTACTCCTTTCCCAGAAAGCAGGGGCCTGCTATGGCTGTGTGAGCACAGGCGGAGGCCTCGAGTGTGCTGACCGCCCGGCTGGTGTGGACGCCAGCTTGGGGAGGCCAGCAGGACACAGCATGACTTCCAGACAAACCTGAAGCTCCTCCTGGGTCCGTCCAGCCAAGGCCAGCCTCTGCGTCCTCCTCAGCTCCTCCAAGGGAGGCAGAGGAAGCCAGAGAGCCTCTACCTACTTCTCAGAAGGGAACACTGAGGCCTGGAGAGGGGCCTCATCTTGCCTAAAGCCCGCTGTGAATCAGCCCCAGAGTCCTCTAGCAAGCCACAGGGCACCACACTTCAGCAGCAAGGTTGGCCACATGCTGTCCGTGGCCTTCAGGGGACACATCAGGGAGAGGGGGCAACACAGTTTGGATCATTTGAAGCCCAGGCTTCCTGTCGCCATCCCATAGACCATGGCGTCAGAGTGCACCGGTCCCTCCAGGTTTTGCCAGGCCACAAAGGCAGGGCTGAGGCTCCCCACCGGCATCCCCACCTGACTGGCCCACCGGGAGCCCCCTTCTCCATCCCTCAGGGACCCCCAAATGGGGTTACATGAGTCTCTGACTTCTCAAACCAGCCCTGGGCACCACGCTGCAGTGCGTGTCTTTGAGCTGGCAGAAGGTTCTGGACATTGGCCCAAGGATGGTAACAGCAACGACAATAACAGTGAGTCCATATCGAGTGTTTCCATGTGCTAAGCTCTTTATAACCATGTAAGCACGGTAGTATTTGGGGTCCTTTAACACCTCTGTGATGAGTGTGCCATTATTACCCCTTTTCTCAGAAGCAGCCGCTAAGATTCGGTGAGGGTCGGTCAGTCCGCCGAGGTCCCCCAGCAGGGGTGGCAGAACTGGCTCTCAAGGCTGACCATCCTCCCACGTGGCCCCAGGGCACTGTCCTGGCCTCACCTCAGCTCATCCAGCCCTGCTGGGAGAAACAGAACCCTGGGGACCCCAGAGCAGGCGACACAGAGAGGGTGACCCTCCCTGACCTCATCTGGGCTTCTCCAGCCCCTTTGCTTCCCAGCTCCCTGCGCTCGGGCCTGGTCTCTGTCAAGCACTCTGTCAGCAAGGCCCTGCATACCTGTGGGCAATTAGGAAGGTCCCCTAGGGGTGCGTGACTCATCCTCCAGCTATGCGGGGAGGCTGCAGGGGGCCCAGGGTGGACCCCTCCTGCCTGTCCACTCTAATTGCAGGTGGTACTCTCCAAAGCTCCCCCCGTTCCCAGACTTGGTCTGGTTCCACCAGAAGAGGAGAGAGTTGTACATCGCACCAGCCGGTGCTGCCCACAGCCTTTCCTCGTTGGGTTCCTTTGCTGCTCTTATGAGCCTCCATGTCATCTCCACCCCCCGTAAAATGGGGACATTTGCGGCCACCCCCTGGGGAATGTCCAGAGGCTCCGATGACAGGACCTTGAGGTGTGCTGTGCAGCCCAGGTATTCACGATGCCTTTACTAACAAAATGTAAGTCATGTTTCCACTAATAGCGTTAACTAGAGAAATTTCTGGATGTAATAAAAACAAAAACATACGAACAAAAACACAGGCTTTGGAGGCAAAAGGCGCGGGTTTGCATTGGGCTGTGCCCCTCACGGTCTGGGTATTTCTTATGCTCCAGACTAATTTTCTTCATCTGTAAAATGGGCTTCATGAGCTCTGCCTTGCAGGATTGTTCTGATCCCATGAAATTATAATATGTGTCACCTATTTCAATAAAGCAACATTCTTTAATGAAATGGTGACATCTGTAAGAGCCCGGAACACCTCCCCGGTCACTAACTAGCACTACCTCACCCACCCGTTGGCTTCATTTTTGACAGATAAGGAAACGGAAGATCAGAAAGCTAAGTGGTTCTTTCCAGGTCACACTGCTGGTGAACTGGCTGAGTCAGAATTCGACCCCAGAGCCCAGGCTGCCCAGCTTCTGGGAGGAAGGTGCGAGGGGGCCGGAGGTAGAAACAAGTGGGAGCCTCAGCCTCCCCCCCGCCAAGGCCAGGCCAGGGCACCCCCTGGGCCTCCCCCCGTCCCACCCTCGGCCTCCCCGCCCTGGGCGCCCAGGGCCCCAGCGTCCAGTGAAGGACGCCCACGCCCACCCTGGCGCCACACAGAAGGTCCCACGCTACTCTGGGAGCTGGCTTCACACTCAGGGCCGCCTTCCCACAGAAACGTGTCAAAAAGTCAGTTTGATCCCCGTCTGGCCTGTGTGTTCCCACAGCCCGTCCCGCCTCCCGCCCCTGAGGTCTGCGGCCTCCCAGTGGCTCCAGAGGCGGGGCCATCACTCCAGCATTTTCCATGGATTCATTTCCAGCAAACAGGGGCCTCACCTCCCCGCCTCACCCTGCAGCCGCTGTTGCGAGGGGCAGCCTGGCACAGGCCTCCCCTCTCTGCACCTTTCAAAGAGGTGAGACTCCAGGTTGGGAGGAGCCACAGCTTCGCCCCTCAGTCCCCCATCGTCTCCTCCTGGGGATGCAGCTAGCTGGGCCCCAGCAGAAGCCTGCTGCCTACATACACCCTGGCCGCCAGGACCCCAGGCCGGCATTCCCCCCAGTCCAGTCAGAAGCATTGAGGGAAGAGATTAGCTGGGAGCCACCCTGGGTATTTTCCACTGGGAAGAGCCGCTGGAGGGTGTGTTCACTCGTGAAGGTCCCAAGAACAATGCTCCCAAGCGGGGGAAATTGTTCTGGGCAGACACAAGTGAGAACTCAGGGCTTTCCAGAGCAAATATAGCAAAGATACCCTGAGGGAAAGAGACAGAAACAAATAATAAGCACCATCCACCGCAGGAGCACTTAGTGAGCATTTACTACGCTCACCTCCTTGCCCTCGTGGTCTTGTTTAAACAACTGCACTCGCTCCACAGATGAGGAAGCTGAGGGTTGGTTGCACAAACACAGGGGCCATAGCTTCTAAGCTTCCCAGGCTCCTTGAACATGGAATTGAGTGTGACGGCAGTCCCCCGGGCTTGAACAGTACACCGTGGCGTAAGGATCTGAGCCCCACGCCTGGCTCAGACGCAGAGAATTTAACCACTGCCCTCCACTGGCATCAGCCAGTTGGGCCACAGAGATGCATAGACCAGTCACGTGAGCAAGTAGCTACTTACCAGTCATTATTATGTGTTTCCCGCCCTTCCGACCTGTGCCCAGGGCCGGGAGAGAGAGGGACCGCCCAGAGGAAGCCAGCTCCGCTCCGGAGATGGGGTGGCCCTCCCGATTCTGAGGGGTGTTGGACATTAGCAACCTGGCCGGGGTCGTTTTCCATAGACTGTTCCATTTCTTCAAAGATGGTGAGGTCCTAGCAGTTGAGCACAGAGACAGGGAGATCAGAACCCCACTGACTCCTCCCCCAGCGGGGGCCAAATTGGACTCCGGGGGAGAAACTTTCTGAGGACCTGCTAGGTGTCATTAACCCTTCCAACAATAGGGAGTTTATTTGTTTCTCCTTTTTGAAGAGACTGGGCCTTGTTTCTTGCTCAAAATCACATAGTAAATGGCAGAGTTGGGGCCTGTGCTTTACTACACCTGACTGAAGTTCATGTTCTTTCCAGTTGTCTAGCGCCTCCTAAGGGCAGGGCGTGACATGGGGCCTCCCGTGCTTGAGGGTGTCCCTTGGAGAGGAAACCACCGTAGATATCTCAGCACCCTGTGCGATGCTAAATCCTCAGAGTTACAAAGTACATCTATAGTACTAACTGTAATTATATTAAAATAATATTGGCAGCTATCACTTATTGAGTGCTTCCTATGTGCTGGCCGTGTTCTTAGCACGTTATATCATAATCTGTTATTATCCCCAAGTTAAAGATCAAGTGACTGAGGTTCAGAGAGTTCAGGCAATTTGCCCAGGGGCGCACAGTGGGATTTGAGGGAGAACTAGGCAACGTGAGGTTTTGCTTTCTCAATCAGGGTCACCAAGGCTCTCACTGGACCCCACTGTCTCATTCATTTCTCCAATATTCATGGGAGTCTACTCTGTATCACAGAAGGGGTGCGAGAGACCTCTCAGGCCTCAAGGGCAGCTCTGGGTACTGGTGGCAGCCTGTGAATTGCCACCCTTACCTGTTCTTTCCTTTCTCCTGATGACTTAGTTGTAACTACACCCATGGCTTCATTTCCCAGCCTCCTGGGCAGCTCAGTCTGACCATGTGACTATGTTCTGGCCAATAAAGATGTAAGCAAAATAACAAGTGCTCTTTCAAGTCTTGCCCTTCCGAACACTGGGTCTGTGGGTCCCGCCCTCTGCCCTCCCTCTGCCCATTTGGTGGCGAGGCGGCTGGAATTAGAGCAGCCACTTGATAGCCACATATTGAAGGTGGTGACGCATACCAACCTTGACTGGCATGTGAGAAAAGAATGCAATTGCAGGTCCTTTAAGCCACTGTATTTTGGGGGCTCTTGGTTACAGCCGTTGACCATACCCTCACTAGTCCCCTGCTGAGAGGGTCTCACTGTCTGCTCCTGCCCCCTCATTGATCATTCTATTCAGTCAACAAACATTTGTTAAGCAACAGTCATGGGCCAGGCACCTTTTCAGCCCCGGGAGATATAGGAGTAGGCAAGAGCCACCCGAGAGAGTCCTGTGCTCACGGCTCTGCCATTCCAGTGGGGGAGGCGAGCAAGAAACAAAACAACAACCAAACGGAGAGGATCCTTTCCGCTGGTAATAACTACGAAAACAAAACAGGCTGGGCTGGGGGGCATGTCTGTCAATGGATGGGTCAGCGAGAGCCTCTCTGGAAAGGGGGCGTCGAGCTGAACCTAGAAGACCAGAAGGAGCCAAGCAGGTGAAGGGGGAAGAAGGTTATAGGCAACGAGCCTGCAAGTTTGAGGGGCAGAGAGCAGGTGAGTGGTCGGGTGGGGATGAGGGGCTGGGAGAGGGGATGTGATCAGGGGGAAGGCAGGGACCAGTTTTCGGGACCCAGTGCCACGGCGAGGTGTTTGCATTGTACTCGAGAGTGACAAGCAATAGAAGGTCTGGCCGAGCGGGGACGTGATCTGAGTTACATCAGAAAATGGCGATTTTGGCTGCTCCGTGGAGACTTGGCTTGAGGGTGGGAGGGTGGGGACCGCGGAAAGAGAGAGCCCAGCAGTGAGCACAGCCAGAAAGGAGAGAGACCTGTGGACTCAGGAGGGAGCACTAGAGAGAGATGAGCAGATACAGGACACATTTGGAGATGGCATTTTCAGTTGTTTCCCCCACAGCCCCCCAACCTACCCCCAAGGCTATTTGGAAAGGCAATCCTCAAGATACATGTTTCCTGCAGAGGTGCAGAATTCAAATCCAAGGTTGTAGGCCTTGAAGTTCAAGGCTCATGCTTCCCAAATGCCAAGAACGCCCCCGTTAAAGGTCCCTTTCCCGTAGGCTCACTTGCTCTCTGCAGAGACGTGCAAAGGGCCGAACTCCTCAGTGTGCACCGAGACAGTCAGACAGGTCCCCTGTACAAGTCCTCACTTCCGCATCCATGTCTTCCTCCAGAACGGGGCTCCCAGTGAACACTCCCAGTGGACACCAGCCGTCTGCACAGGTCAGAACAGCAGGGCCAGAGGCAGCCCTGGTAACAAGATCTGCAGGAAAGAAGGACGGTGTGCAGGCAAACTCAGGGCTATGGGCCTGGCTTCCAGATAATTTACCCCAGGAGTAAATTAGCCATCAACAGAAGGAAGAAGAAACTAAAAAGA